ACATACATATATATACATATACACACATATACATATACATATACAAACATACACACACATATACATACATACATACATATATGGCTAATAACACCACTTTGTTTGGGAGTAGTACCATAAAATTATATATCAATGGAAAGATAATTTAATCAAGAATGTAATGCAATAACCTTTATGAAGGATTTGCTATTAGAATAGCAGTTATAAAGAAGAAAAGTGAAACAGGTAGAAAAAATGAGATATACAAAAATTATCACGTCAGTTAATACTTAGCTGAGTAACCTTCAGCATGAATTACGGCCTTACAACATCTTCCCATGGAGTGAACCAAGTCCTTTAGTTCTGCAGCTGTTATAATGTGAAACCAAGATTGAATCATTGCTTCTATTAACTGGGTTTTATTGCTGGGTCGCTTCTGACTAACAAGTTTCTTTAGTCAGCTCCATGGATTTTCAATTGGGTTAAGGTCTGGGCTATTCCTAGGCCATTCCAGCAGTAGAATATGATTATTTTGAAACCACTTTTTGCATACAGCAGCAACATGACATGGAGCTGAATCCTGTCGAAATATAAATTCTTCATTGTCTTGGAAAAGATCATGTGCAGAAGTCTTCAGTTTGGGCTCAAGTATTTCATTAATGTATTTTTGGCCATTTATATTCCCATTAATCAACAAATTCTGTCATATAATCCCACATCATAAGACTGACTGGGTGTTTCACGGTACACGTAATGCAATCAGGATGCAAATCTTCTCCGATTCTTCTCCTTACGTATTTTATGCCATCACTACCAAAAAGGGAGATCTTGATCTCATCACTCCAAATAACACTGTCCCATTGTTCCTCTGTCCAAGTTAACATGGGTTTTAGCCCAGTTTAGTCTTTTCAACCTTTGTTTAAGAGATAAAAGTGGCTTTTCTCATGGAATTCTAGATTTTAGGCCAAATTCCTGCAGTCTACGCCAAACAGTCTTTGCACTCAACTTCACATTGCATTGCGCCATTTCATCTTGTATACACCCAGATGATTTTCTTCTGTCATGTAGGCACAGTCTCTTAATTCTTCTATCATCACTTGCTGTTGTGCACCTTTTCCTGCTTTTACCAGTGTGGTTTGGTAGTGACTGAGTCTCTTTATACCTCTTCAAAAACTTAGAAATGCCACCTTTGGTTAAGTTTCCACCTATTTTTCTTCTAATTTCTTTATAACTGTAGCCTTGTTCACTTAATAATACTATTTTACATCGCTTTCTGGGTGACCAGTCAACTCTTTGCACCATTACTTTAATTTTACTATGTTTTACAAGCTTACTAAATGAAAGAACACAAAAAACCCCAACCAACTTGATAGTGATCACATAATACATTGACAAATGTCCTCTTCTCAGCTTCAATACATGACATCAATAACTGAATCCTACTGTGATCTGATTGGCTCATTGCCAAAACAAGATGATGCCTGATTGGCTCTCTAAACACTCATACTCATTGGCTATAATCAGATTAAGGAATGCTACCTGATATCAACCTAAGCAAGTTGTGCTTCCTTTTTCTGGTTATTTGGCTATAACTTTTCATAGAATACAGATAATTGAACAAACTTTGTTGCATTACATTCTTATTAAATTATATTTCCATTGATATTAATTTTATGGTACTACTCCAAAAAAAGTGGTGTTATTAGCCATCAAACCTCAAATGTACACTTTTCCCAAAAGGTTTCCACAATTTTGGTCATGTATGTATGTATGTATGTATGTATGTATGTATGTATGTATTCTGAATTTGAATAGTTTTTAATGGAAGCAGTAGGGCACAGAGGAAATAGACCTTTCCTTCCTGATAAATAATATTGGCATTTAGCAATGGTAGTTGATGATGGAATTCTGAGATATCTTCTGCAATAATCTGAATCTCTTTCAGGAATATAAAGAGTACTACAATGGCAGTTCAATATCTGGGCAAGTTTCTGATGACAAATTATTTCTTTTTTTAAAATCTTTTCTCCCACTAACACAAAAGTACAAAGTACTTTTTACAGTACTATACGTTTTACATAGGCACACAGAACTAAACATACAATTTTGGGACTTTGACATCCATTTGCTACGTTGAAGTTAAGTTTTTCTTTGTACACATTTTCTACAAGTTAGCACAAAAGTACTGGAAAAATACTTTTAGAAGAGCTACAAGCTGATTTTAACAACTCACCATAATTATATTAGGGTTATTTCCTTTTATTTTCAAATAGGAAAGGTCAAGAGAAAATGACTAGCCAATGAGCTGGCATGGCTGAACAGATATGTAAGGCCATGTTTCTCATATTTAAAACTCAACATTCTTACTTTATTCTTATATTTTAAGAGGAAAAAAATTTAATGGCTATGTTTTGCTCCTGTAATCATAGTCCTGCTCCAACAGCAGCCGGGGGGGGAGGGGGGAGAGACAAGAGAATAATAGCAGGCAACTTGAATTGGAATAAAGAGGGACACCATTTTGGGGATGAGTTAAAACCCAGTTTCTCATGATGGATTCTTCTATTAGTCAAATTGCCTGCTGATCAAAGTTTCTTTTGGTAGAATTGTTCAAAAAGTTAATTGAGTATCAGCCTGCCCAAACTGAACCACTGAGCAACTCACACAGAAAACTATCAACTGGATCTATCCAGGAGTACAGATTTCTCCAGAGCTGAGTGCAAATGCTGAGTGCTGTAAATTGCTCTTTTGGGAAATGCCTCTTATAATTTGTAAGATGTCCCAAGTCCAACAATCCACAAAATGGATCTGCAACATTATGACTAAAATGTAACTGAAGTGCCCAGAACTTCTGTTCAATATATAATTTAGGTGACTGACAAAAAACAAAAACAAAAACAAAAAAACCCACTCTCCAATTACATCCAGATAAAATTCCTTCCCAATAGCTAAATTGTCAGCAATGATACCAAAATAGAGGAGGTAACCCTAATTTTCCCTATTGAAAATCACTAATGTAAGATGTGAATCAGACAGTAGGACAATTTTATAGAGTCAGAGTCGGAAACAGGCATCAAGCCATTGAACCTAGTCATGCCCTGTTCAAAAATCCAAATTAAACACCCCAATGGCTTTCTTCCTGAATACACACACGGAACCTGTAGATTACCCCTTTTGAACAAAAAATACCATTGGGAGAATTATCATTAGAGACAGTAAATGGACTAATTATGTGCAATAATCAAAGTCAATGAAGTGTCTTAACAGGGAAAGTAAGACTTGGACTGAAGTTACATTTTACCAAGAACCACCTGAAGAATAACCATAATCTCACCCTGAAAAATGGATGATGAATATGGTACAACAGGACAGAAAATGTGCTTGTGAAGGACGAGGAAAAGGCCTTCTTTGTGAAAATGTGCCATACGTGCAAAGTTTTTATTTCCATTTGAAACCAAACGGTAGCATCAGAAATTGAAGGAAGAAAGCCATGTCATTCAATTATATCAAGAGGTCAGCAATGAAGTGTCTGTAAATTACAGGCTACCCACTTCACCCCCAGAACCCAGCAAGCCCTCCCAATCTCTCCTAAAGAAAATAGGACATTTTCTAAAAATGACACAAGGCCTAAATAAAATTCTTCTATAAACACTAGCTTAGTTTAAAAATCCAATGACGATAAAAGACACTTTAATACTAGCCATATCTCAATCCTGAATAGAAAGTACCTTGTATTTATGCTGTCAGAATGCAGGAGAGAGGGACATAATTCTGTAGATTCATCAATTTTTCAGCTACTACAAAAACAACTTAGAATCCTTTACAGCGAAGAAATGAATAACTTTGACACTATTTTCTTTAAACATCTCACTATGAATCTTGTTCTACAATACTCTACAGCCAATGGAATATTCACCGCCATAAGGCCCAAAAGGCCATTAAAAAAGGCTCCATTAAAATGGAAGGGTTGCCTTCACACTTTCTAGAATTTTTAAAAAACATGTAGGAGAATGAAAAGAATTCCCTAAAAATAGAACCTTTGAAAAATAATTGTTTTATTGTATTGTTCTTAGCAGAAAAGAAAGACTTTCTAGATATTTAAGGCACAGTTAAGCACAAATATGATGTGCAGATTTATTGCAAGGAAAAAGACATTATCTTCACCTTTAACAACAGTATGGGCTACATATAGAGAAAGGTCTTCAATAATTGAAAATATTTTTGTTGTAATTGGTAAGTATTTAAAATTCTTTAACTCTGTACACACACACACACACACACACACATACACACACACGGCATTGTTGCTCCTTTTAAAGTTCAAAGTTTCCATTTCTAGTCTGCATTATTTTGTCCCTAAAATATGATAAACAGTAAATAAAATAAGCACCATTTACCATTTTCTACTTAACAGAAAACCAACATTCTCAGAAGAAAAACAAACTGTTTAAACTATTGCTTCACTAAACTATAATAACATATTGAATATTTTACAAACATATATAGCATCAATTTCAGCTTAGGCTAATATAGATGGAAAAGCAATCTGCAAATTAACAGTGTTGTAAAATATTGAAAACAATGAAAAGAAGTCTACCAAACTTCATTTTTAGAAAATATATAAATAGAATGCAATTCTGCATGCTATTTTAAAGTACTTATCTTTAATATTTAAAAAACATTTTCTGCAAATTCCAGTTCTTTTTACAACCCTAGAAACTGTAAAATCCAAAACTCTTTCCCATGAGCCATCTGATATAAAGAACACCAAACAAACAATGCTTCTGGTGCATGAAACTTAACAATTCATTTTTTAGATATTAAGATTTCCAAATCTATTAATGAGATCTGGAATGAGAACTGAATCTTTTATATTTTTAAAAAATAGGCCTTATCGGCGCCAGAAAATACTTACATGTATTTGCAAAGATAACAAATGATCTAAAATAAAAATATGTAACTTCCTCAACATATAAACACTCCATTAAGATCAAAGGATAAAAACAATAAAAATAATATTTTACCTCCATTTTCTTCCCCATTGCTATTGTTAGTCTCAGCCATTTCAGTGCTGTCCAACTCAGATTCACAACTTAAATCCAATGTTCCATCTGCTGGGCATGTAGTGTCTTCCTTCTGTGTGTAAAGACATATGTCATCATGCTGCTTGTCACATTTCAAAAAAGAATGTGTTTCTTAGGAACATTCCATAAATAAAATGTGATTCCTGACAATTTCATGAATAAGGAAAAAGTCTCTCACAGGACATACTACTGTAAAGCCTTCTAGAAACTTAAATAGAAAAATGCAGCTTATTTCACATCAGTATTCATAGAAACCAACTTATTCCTTAAAAAAATACAACCATTCCAAAAATCATGCAGAATAAAATGAAATACTTTTTTATGTTCTGTTTTTATTAGGTGGAACATAATTCTATAATTACATAACAAATTCTACAGTTCAAAATTTATGGAGCACCTACATTTTAAAAGTGGGCTTTGTGTGTGTGTGTGTGTGTGTGTGTGTGTGTGTGTGTGTGTGTGTGTGTGTTTTCCCTGTAAAGCCTAACTATACCACACAAAAGAAAATCTAATCAAATGCAAAAGCTGCTTTTGAATTCTGGCAGTTAGTAGAAAATGGCCCATATTTCTATTTCTCAGAAAAAAGTGCTGCCTATTCCATTTGATTACTTCAAGAAAATGCCACATTCTATCAGTTTCAGAATAATGTCTCCTCCTTCACTCAGATATCACTATTAGATTAAGGATTAAATAAATAGTTCTGCTCGTTCAGATAAAATCATTACTTGTATCACAGCTTTACATTTTCAGTTCCTTGTTAACTCTAGAATTGTCATTCATGATATAAATCTTTCCAAATGTCTCTTTCTCAAATACAATGTGAATATATTTGCTTATTTCTAAATAAACAAGTAAATTTTTGCTTATTTCTAAAAGGCAATATCTAAAATCTCAGCTAGAAAAAGAAAATAAAGCCATGCCTATTCCTCAATTTTGTTTAACTTATAAAGTTTATCTCGATTGGAAATCATATTAAGTGCTATCTTAAAATGTTTTGAACACAATTTACCTCTGTTCCCAACCTAATGACTTCAATCTAATTTATTTATATGATTTGTTAATTCAATGCATAGACTTCATAGCGCTGGGTAATTTTGTTTCTAAAAATATGCAACTCACCTTGAGTGCGTAGAGTCCTGCCTTGCCAGGAATTTTGAAGAATGTCCCATCACCAACACGAGTGTTGGTATGAAGCATTGCATTCAGACAAGCTAATGGAGAAGTGCCACTGAAAAACAAAAATAAAGCTGGTTAAAATGGAGTGTTTCTCAGAACCTTCTTCCCTCTTCTTAAAACTCATGTTTCACTTTAAAAAAATCCTGAAAACCTCCCAACATCTACATTACAATAACAGGCCAGTTGAAACTTAATCATATGCATCTGCCCCTTCAGCTTCAGGCAAAAAGTCTGCAAATTATAATTATGCTATTTTCACACAGTAAACAGTTCAGCATTGAAAAAGAGCTAGAGTCCAAATATTTATGTGAAATTACTTTGCAAATAACACCATAATGTCTTATTTTTAGAATGTTATAGACAATGCGGCTGTTGCACATGAATGATCAAAATGGTACAAGTTCATGGGCAGCTGCATTCCATAGGATGGAGAGGCAACAAAAGAATGCTAAAAGACTCCTGAACAGCCACATTTAAAATTGCAAGGGCTAGCTATGAACAAATATGGGCAGCGTTGCTTTAACATAGCCAGTATAAACCATATATCTTGGTATAAGTAGATAACAGTACAGTAATTTGAAGCCATTCTGTGATGGGCAACGTTCTTAAATATACTGGGATTTTCTTTGATTTCAAGGGATTCTGCTTGGAAGTGTAGGATCAATTGCAGCTTAAGAAATAATCCTAATATATAGCAGTGCTAAAAAGTGTAAAACCTTTTGAATGTTCAATAGTTCTACATAAATATGATATAACTCATGATCTGTTCTCCATCCAAGTCCTAAAACTAGAGGAGGTGAACCCAATTAAACAAATGAAAAACATTCTATTGTATCTTTTATGCGAAGAACATGTTTTGGGAAGTATTTGTTGAAGAACTTTAAGCATCATGACTATAATCATCCACAATTAATTAAATTAGTTAAAAAGAAGCACCAAATTGCAAGCTTTTCTCTTCATGCAACTTTTAATAAAACAATACTAATCTGAATGAATTTTAATCAAGATAATTTAATTAAGTAATATCAATTGTAACTGTTACTTCAAATTATGATTATGTCCTTATCAAATGTTGCATATTACAATAAAACTTTGCTTTAATGGATCATTCAGTGTGGGTGTTTGTTCATCCTGAATTTTTGTTAAATCTGAAAGTTTGTTTGTTATTTATTTATTGTATATACCACCCATCTCACTGTCAATCGATTATAAACTGCAGTGATTTGGGTAATCTGCATAATTTATAATTCATGTAAATTTATGTCACTTGCGTTATCAAATTATAAATTCATGTGACATAAATATAACAAAATTTAATGTACATGAAAGTGCCATGTACTTCTTTGCATACAATGAACATGTCCATTATTTCAGGGGGATATCCCTACGGAAATTTCATTTGTTGTATTTGCTTCATTAAATCAAAGACTTATGACAGCAAAATAGGAGCATATATCATACTGGAAGTGATCAATTTTAGAATGGATTTTGGGTGATATAGTTGTTTTTGTTTCAAATATACTGGACAGAAACATTTTAAGGAAATGCCTGAATAAAATATTGGACATAAAAATGTAGATGAATTATGTTGCTAGGACAAAACAGCTTGTATATGCATCAGGTGATTGTGCTGACTTATAACTGCAATTATGGGAGTTCCAATTGCCATCATTAGGCGAATCCTTCTCCTGCTGGCTTCTCCATTGATTTTACCTGTTGGAAACCAGCAATGAAGGGTACTAATGACATGAAAGCAGGATATTGAGGCTGTCATAATTGCAAAGTCTTTTGCCACCTGAATCATGATTATGCGACTGTGGGGATGCTACAATGGTCACAACTATGAGAAGTCTTTTTGTTAAGTGCCATCATAACTTTGAATGGTTGCTGAATGAGTAATTGAATTAAATGTGGACTATCTATACATCTTTCATTTAGCATTAGTGACTGATTGTCAGCCTTTCAAATACACCAGACAGGAAACATGACCAGATGAGCCAATTCTACTATATTGTAAGGCTATATTAACAAAACTTTGTGCGTCTGTACAAATTCCCCACCATCTCTTTTATAGTCTCAGAGGTTAAGGAGCTTCCTTTCTGAGTTTCTTTTTCTTCCCATTATGCAGCTATGCCTTCTCTTAACCAGGCAGCTTCTCTTCCCCCTTCTCCCAGATCCTTCCTACGTCCCATTAGTTTGACTGACTTAATGGTGGAACTCAGAAGAAATGACATTTCTTCTCCCGTACATGTGTAATCTGTACTATAGTCCACAGAACTCCTCCCAAAAATCTGAGGTAGGACATTTACAGATCAGTAAGTACAAACAAAAGTGTATTCCTAAAAGAAGCAAAATTTTCAAACACATTTCTGACTTAGCCTATCAAAACTCCCAAAGAAGTCAATATAATATTTAAAAATCAAGATACCTCAAGCATATCCTAGCAGTTTAACAAAGGAATGAATAATACACAGATTTCTCTAATAAATATCTAAATAGAATGAAAATTTGACATGCAATTCCATGTCACATTTATTAGGACAAGATGAATTAACTTTACTCTATACACGCACAGAGACACATTATTTCATATCAAGTGGAATTAGAATTAATTATGAACTCAGATACTTGGGAATTGAAACAAATGCTATCATGACTGAAAAGTGAATAAAATACATTGTTTTTATTTAAATGCCTTTAATATTTTCTTTACAGACTATCATGCACTCATCTTCTCTCTCTATTAACTATTTGTTTAAGAGCCTTACTTCCCATCTGAATCATCAAACAGTCGTAGACTTAATTTTTAAAAATTGTTTAGATAAATAAAAATTTGCAATTACTTGAATATAGGAGCGAAAACCCAGTGATGCTGTATCAATTGATAGCTGAAATTATTTCATCAATTCAGACAAAATAATGCAACAAAAATATGCTGCATCAGATGGGAGATTCCACAGAAAGTTGCGTAGAATAACAGGGCTAAGACTTCCAGATCTAAATGGCCAAGCAGATTAAATGGCCAATCAACCAGACCTTGTAGTAATAGTCAAGGACCAGAAGACCGCAAGTGGTGTTAGAAATAGCAGTGCCAAGTGACAGCAACATCAGGAAGAAGTATGAGAAGTTGGAGAAGTACCAGGGCCTGAAGTAGGAACAAGAGAGGATGTGGAAAGTAAAGGCCAAAGTGGTTTCAGTGACTCCTAAGCTGAGAGTGTCTCCAACAGATCCCAAGAACATCAGAACTGTGTCCAATGTCTGAGTGCAATGCTAGGAATAGCTAAGAAACTATGGAAAACTCTCAACACCCAGGCCTCTGGTAAAGAACCCAAGATTGAGGAAGCACATACCACTCGTATAGGATGAACAGGGATTTTTTATATAATATTCTAAGCATAATAAAAACAGAAACTAAAAATATAAAACTACAAAGATGGATAATAATTGAGTATAGACTGTTGAGGAGGAATTTATTTAATACTCAAGAGCAGGGGTCTCCAACCCCCGGTCTGTGGACTGGCATCAATCTGTGGCATGCCAACAACTGGGCCGCGCAAACAAGCAAAGTCCTATCCGTGGAATGCAGGCAGCGTGCAAAACCAGGCCCCCTCTGATCTGTAGAAAAACCTTTCTCCATGGAACTGGCTTTTGGTGCCTCAAAGGTTGCAATATTCACTTTAGTCTTGAACTACCCCAATAATTATATAAACAAATCAAATATTAAAAAGATATTATTGAGACTAAATGTTGTATAGAAAAGCTCAAACCTTTGAATTTATGGCATAATATGGATATTCAGATCGATCTAGTTTATTTAAAAAATGATTTCTCAAATAATGCCAAGATTCACTGTTATTCTATTCAAGGAACCATGTACTGATGAAACATACTGATGAATAGGAGCAGTGAATGGCCTTAGGAGAATTAATCCTTCATGTTCTGTTCCTCTATACATGCCAAGTACTGACTTTTGGTTTTGAATTAAATGCTATTTTCACAAATCTTAGGGCATATTTGTTTTCACAGAGGTTAATTAGCAACCAGCATTTGAAATCATATGTAATTATTTTGTTTGACCTATTCAAATTTAGCCTTAAGGCACCTAATCTGAAATTATATTATGATGCGGTAGCTTTAACATTGATTAGTGATTGGCTTAATTTAACAAATAAAAATATACTTTCTCTTGAGGGATGGGATTTACTATACGGATGGCACGCATATCTAATTTATGATAAAAAATTAGATCAGGTTTTTAAATCCCATATTTTAAGAAGTGCTTTACTGCGTGTCTGGAAGAAGTATTATTATAGGTTAAATTATAAAATACCATTTTGGGGGATTCCTGGACACGCGATAGAGGGGGTATCTAGGGGTGTGAACTTGGATAGGATTTCTTATAAGGAATTACTTAGATTGGTAGGGAAGGATTGGCAATTAAAAACTTTAGTTAAGTTAAAGCAAGAAAATATTGTACAGTCTTGGTTTCAGTATAACCAATTGTTGGTTAAGTGGAGCTTAGATCAAAAGGTTGGTATTACTTTAGGGGATGAGAATTTGTTAAAACAGATTAAAGATCAAATCGAGCCCACATAAAGAGAATTTATAATGTTTTAATAGAATTGGATTCTGAAATGGATTTAGTTAAAGATTGTATGATAAAATGGGCTCAAAATATTCAAGAACTGATTTCATTGGATACATGGGAGGTAATTTGGGTTAGAAATGTAAAATTTACCCAGGCTCAAAATTTAAGAGAAAATTTTTATAAAATGTTTTATAGGTGGCATTTGGATCCCAAAAAGCTGTCTTATATGTATCTCAATTTACAGCCCAAATGCTGGAGATGTGGTAGCTTGGATGCAACTTATTTTCATATTTGGTGGACTTGTAGAAATATAAAAGCTTTTTGGATTAAGATTTGGTGGAACATTCAAAAGATTTTTAAAAGAAAGATAAAGTTCATGCCACAACTATTTTTGTTGAGTGTTATTGTAGATTGTGATGCTAAAGAAACTAATTTGATGTTGAATTTTATAACAGCTGCAAGGT